GCTGTGTATTTACGGTTAAAAATATAAACATTGATTAAAAGTTCAAATAATAAATGTAAATAGTGCTTTATGAAGATAAATAACTACATTTATTTTAAAACAAGTTAATGGTGAATAAATGTCATGGTAAAAATACATATATTGTCCAGTAAATGTAGATACTGTACTACATACTGCATTTGGGTATATATACAATATATATGTGGAAGATATGAAAAGTGGAGGTAGGATGATGTCATGTGGTTGAATGGAGAGTAATGGATGTTTTTTTTCTGCACTCTTCATGTTATTTATTTTTTATTTTTTTAATTGCTGGATTAGGAATTGATTCAGATTTTGAGCCTGTGGAGGGTCGGTGGCGAGCTAGGAAGGACGAGTAATGTGGACGTAACGGTGCACGGTGTGGCCAGCCGTGTGATCCACTCCGGTGCACGGTGTGGCCAGCCGTGGGATCCACTTTGAAGAAACCCCAAAGATCATCCCAACTCACAGGTGACATAGATAAGAGAGTAACACAAAAATTTACCCAGGTAGTGAACAGTTACAGAGCATTGCACAAATACATCAGAGTTGAACTCTTATAAGAAGGAAGGACACTTTTATTTGGACTTTTTTAATTATTTTTTTTAGTGCTGGAATAATTTCCATCATTTATATAAGTCACAAACCCAGACATAGAATCTTAATTCTTTTTTTTAACTTCCCAGGTTTCCCCAGGGAACTTTTTTATCTGCAGTGTTAATATATTAAATATTCAGATTTTTTTCTTTATTTATATGCTGGGAAACACTCAGTATTAATGAAGTGTTTAAAGCCCCTCTGGAAATAAAACTTTATGGTTACATCACTTTATAAATGCTTTTAGTTTCTTAATAATCTCTTACATTTTGCTGCCAACAAAAAATGGATTACAAACATAATTCAGCTGCTGACTGTCTTCACTTAAGCCTTTAAATAAATGTCACTTTGCCTCAGCAACAAGGCAGCCAATAGCAATCAAGCTCATGTTATTTCTTCTCATAATGTAACATGCCAACTGCAGTTGTCAGAGTGTGGAGTTGTCAGACCTACATCAGGAATGTTATGTAGACCACTGTCCATGTGAGATTTGTCCAGTACAGTCCGATCAGCCTGACTGCCCAGTGATGGGGAGATGGTTCACACGCTTCTCCTCCAATCAGGACTGGCCACAGAGAGTCAGCCCGTGTCCTTCCAAGTCCAACACAATGTTTTGATCAGCTGTGGTGACAACAGAGTGAAGTCAACAGAGATGGTTTGACCCGGCTCAGTAACGTGGGCCGTGATCAGAGGACTGATGGTTTGAATCCCATACAGGTTTAAGGATGAACTTTGTTCATCTTTGTGTGTGTGCAAGTACTACAGTGCTATGAAGTTTTGATGTTTTCAATTCAATTAAAAAAAAATTAGGTACATCGAGGGCAAATGGACAGAGTAGGTTTTTTGAAGACTTCACCTCTCATCCAAGAGGCTTCTTCAGTTCTGAACTGAACTGAAGAAGATGACTAGGATGGCTGAGAACCTACACAGACAATTAAATTTGTTCAATAATTCTGAGGTGGCACAGAAATTAGGACCCTGGTACTTTATTTGAATATTTTACTCAAATACTTTACTCATACTCCAAAACATGTGCCAGTATTCCAATAGAGATGACGCTGCATGGAGGATGGGGAGGGGCCCATGACTGATAGGGGTCCGAAAATGTTTACTTTATTGTAATGTTACTGTAATAATTTGCTTTGAGACATTCCTCGTAGTGGGTTTCATCATGCCTCAATAGTGGATTTTGCACAGTATGTAGAAATATATTTATGTTCTTAAGTGTATTACATAGGAGCCCATAGTCATATCCTTCCATGATGCCCTGAATTCCTGGCAGCGTCCCTGCCAATGACCCAATATACTCTGTAACTGCTGCTGTTCAGTGTCTCACTTCCATCAATGAGACACTTAAGGTGGTCAAGAAAAAAAAAACTTATTCCCTACTCTATTGCCTCTGCAGGGAATGTTATGTCGTGTACTTTGTAGTGGACTCACAGATTGAATGAACATTTTCGTACACTATTTTGGTGCACGGTTAATTACGTCATTACTGTCGCACAATTAAAATGGATGGACGGACGGTTCTCCTCTCTCCACCATGGCTTTTTGACTGCAATGCATGATGGAATATATTGGGTAGTGACCATCAGTTGTACATTAGAATATTGATACATTGAGGTTCTTTTATATGGACAGCTACTGAGTAATCATTCTGATACCACTACAAAATGATGTACCCCATGTGCAGTACACTATGTAGGGCGTAGGGGAGGATTGCAGACAGACTAAATAATCATTTAAAAAAATTCAAATAATAAATTAGCTTTATGCAATATTGCAGTTTTTACCAACTTCTCTCAAATTGATGTCATAATAACCAGTTGTCTAATTCTCTATCCACCTGCATTTACAGCTATAATTTACCACAGCTGGGTGTAACGATCTTTGACCAGGAGTGTCACTGTCTGAGTCCTTTCACCTGTGCTGTTCATGTCCTCCAGCTAGTTTGCCTGTGCCCAAACAGATGAAAGGTAGAAGGGCGTGGTTCTCCCAGAGCCCAGGAAGTTGAGAGTTAACGGCGAAAGAGGCTCTTTGAAAATAGATTGAGACTGTGTGTCTCACAGCTCGAGGGTTCATTGTAGAAGAGTTATAACAGCCCAGTGTCTCTGTGCTGATGAGAAACACACACTCACACTGTGTTCAACATGTTCTGTTCCCAGCTGCATATACATTATGTCTGATGCACTCCTCATTCATTAAACATCAGAAGGACAGCAGCATTTACACAGATGCATTTGCAAATTCTCTAAGTGATGTACTACTACAGTACATGAAAGGAAGCAGTAGGTCAACGCTTTGAAGAAAATGTGTTCTGTTTAATATGGCAGTGCTTACATCAGTGTACACATCAAAACATACTTTTTTTTTTCTTTTTTCTGCTGCCCTAGGATTGGAGAGAGACCTGCTGTGCTTTACTTTCACTACTGTATGTGAGCACGTCAGGGATTGGTCCACTGCTCTGCCACTCACTCTCCTACTTCCTCTGTCCTCCTTTCCTGGTGCAGCCTGGGCAAGAGGGAGGGGGATGGATCTATGCTGGTGTGTGAGTCGCCGGAGCTCCCTCAGCCGGCTCCTCACCACCTGTCCTTGACTTCATGTGTACAGACAGACGTGGCTGAAGGGAAAGCTGTTCTGCTCACTGGTCCTCTGCCACCTCTGGGGTCGGTGTTTGTGCGAGTGCATGTCTGTCTCTCAGTCAGTGTGTGGAGTCTGCCTCTCTCCTACTTGTGTGTGCGCTTCATTTGGAGTGGCGAAGAGGGGAACGCTTGTCCTCAGTCGATGGAGCTCTGATGGGAGACAGTGCTGACTCTGGCTGGGACTGGGGATGCTGAACAGGGGGAGGGAGGGCCTGTTTGAGCTGGGACAGCAGCTCCAGCAGCAGGGGGAGTACCAGGCCGCCCTCCACTGCTTCCTCAGCTGCTTGTTGGGACTGACCCATGTGCAGAGCTTCACCTCTCTGCCTAACTGCCTACACCAGGTGAGACAGATACACCATTACGATGAACACACACTTACAGACTTATTGATTTTTTTTTTTTTTGCTACTTATCAGTGTCTTATAAACACATACATGTACGACTGAAATGACTGTGTCCTGTCTTTGAACAAACTGACACTGACTCACGCTTCTTCCATGACACACAGCAGCACACGGGACACATTCAACCTTGGTTCCTTTAAGAGCAATGTCAAATCCAACAGCACCGTCCATCACGTGTCCCAACAACACCGCCGTACAGTGTGAGCGTCATAGACAAACTACAGTTTACACACATGACATGTCATGTGTCGTGTGTGTGTGTAGGGGGTTGTGTTTGGGTTTCCTGCACTGATGTTTGGTCCCCCATGCTGTCAGACCTAGGAAATGACACACTGAGCTGTTTTACAGTCGGTCCAGATGTTGTGTTTTCACAGTGTTTCTGCACTTGGTGATGTCAAAACATTAACCTTTACTCCACAACTCCGGAATGTGTGGTATGATGTTGACTACATAAATGTGCCTCCGAGACAACGAGGAATACTTGTTTTGAAGTTGATTGATGTCATACACACACACACACACACACATATTCAGAGACATACACAAACCTAGAATTAGAAAGGACTGATTTTAACCCCCCCCCCCCTTGTTTTTTTTTTCTCTTTACAGATTGCAGAGCTCTTCATCACAGAGAAGAACTGTATCCTTTACTATCGAAGTCAGAGAAGAACGACGTGTGTGTGTGTGTGTGTGTGTGTGAGAGAGAGACAACTTTACTTTCTCTGTCCCATAAGTGTTGGGAATCACTTACTTCACAAGTAGGGATCTGTTTTGAAGAGAAAGAGAGAAGGGGGAGGAGGGTGCAGGGGATTGTTAGTCAGTTTTGCACAAAGGAAGACAGCAGTGTTAACCCACAGGGTCGAGTGGACGTCTTTGTGCCGGTTGATAATAACATGTTTGTGCCATATTGTCACATGTTTTTTGTGAGCTGCAGCGGCTCCTGTGTCAGTCTCCTAAGAGGATTTGTAGGCTCTTATCTCTGCACAACAGAGTGGGAGAGCACTAATTAACCTGTATCTCTGCTGACGGGCTTATGCATCACCGACTCACTGCTTCTATAAACTAAAGCAGTACAGAGGTAACAGAGAAGTGTTGTGTTTCAGGATACATTACCTCCGTGGCTCCTCTCCCCGTCACTGAGACACTCCAACACTTAACTTCCCAGCTCATGTTATCTACCGCAGAGAGCCTCTTCCCCTCACTGTCCATTTTCCAAAATAGGTCGATTTGCTGTGCTGAACATCAGCAGCAGCCATCAGAGTCGGTCCTTTTAGCACGAGCATTGTCAGTGGGCTGTCTTCAATAACGGTCAAAACTTCTGACACCTGGGTGAAAATCTAGAAATGAAACAGTTTTGTTTAGAGCAGGGGTCTGCTTTGACTCACATGATCTGTCATCTGATTGGAGGACCACTTTAGAGAAAGATATTTCTTTTCCCATTATGAATAAAGTAAAAATTTGAGTCACCTTGGTTAAAGGTAAATGTAGTGTTATTGACTGATGTGTGTTGTTAAAGTCTTAATCTGTGTTTAAAGATTCTACAAAATTATTTCATTACAACTTCCTGTAGTTAGTTCTTAGTTGTCAGGATTTTTCACAAACGTATCAAAATTAAACATATTTGTTTGGTCGTGGCCCAAATGTGGGTCAAAAATTGTTGTTATTAGGTCACAGTTATGTTCCATATGGACCGTTTCACATAAGTGCATAAAGTGGTTGTGAAAAGAAGTGCAGCATATTGTGTGGGGCACATATGCATACCATTTGCCCTTGACCTACATCTGTGCATGTTGCCCTGAGGCCCACACCTATAACCAATCAATGTGGGTTGATGGACATTTTTCCCATGAGCTTAAATGTGACTCTTACTGTAAATGTTGATGAGTGTTGCCATAGTTGTTTTTTTATATATATATAACTACAGTTTTGACACTTTGTCCATCACAAAACTTCATTTTATGATTAGTGTTCATGGCCATGGTTATTTCACATTTTATTGCATAAAGAAATGACATTTTGAAAGAATTCCTTTGCAATGAAAGACTTTGTGTATTGTGACTTCTGTGTTTCGTTGGAAACCACAACTAAGTAGACTTTCATCCTCATTGTGGGCGGCACCTGTGATGATGAATTATTGTGTTTCTTTTATGGTTGTGTAAAAGAGTAATGATTTCTTTCATACAGCACAGTTAGCACTAACCTCGCTAAAATCTGTAACGACTCAAATTGAATCATGTAATTTTTGTTGTATATTATATATATTATTCCACATTTATTAAAAAACACCATATGCATTTAACCATGACGGGTTGAGGTGATCAAGACCTAAATAAAAGTAGGGCTAATGGTAAAAAAAAAAGTAAAAGTTATTTAATAAAAACATTCATATTTTCCTTTTACCTCATAAATTAGGTTTTATGTCAGGAATACCGATGGTCTGTTTTTGTTATTGAGTTTCTCATGAGGATCAGAGGAGCTGCTGTGATGCCACGGTCCTCCAGGGACGGGGGAGGAGAGTGAAGGGTCATCATGCTTAAACTGGGAGCAGGATGTGGAACCAGACTGTTTACAAAAACAGCATTTCAACATCTTGGACATTTGGCTCACAGCCTGATCACACCCACAAGTCAAAAACAAAGCAGAGTTTTGTTTTTTAGGAGGTGTGGGGCAGGGGCTGTATTTACGTACTGTGTCCTTAGGTACACTGTGACAGTAGCTATGGACATCTAACTGTCATAACCACTTGAGGTTTGAAGTGTTGTTATCAGACCTTGCGGTAAGCTCAGGCAACCTTTGATCAGAGCCAGAGACTCTTTTAGCTGCTGAGCGTTTGATACTTGTTTCGTGGAAAGTATTCTGACATGGAAAAATTGACTTTAATCTCAAATAAACAGCGACCGGTTGACGGCACTGTCGTCACAGTGTACACTAATCAATAATTGTAGTATTGGGTTTACTACAGTACATGACAACAAAACAAATACATTTGTAGCACTACAGGAAGTCATTGAGGTGATAAAATAATAGGTGTAGGCAAACCAGGCTGAATGTGTGTTTGTGTGTGATACTAGTGAAGCTATATTTGTGTGGACTTTTTTTACTATAATACCTGTCCTTGTGGGAGTATTTTGCATTAGAAAGTATTTTGCAAATCCCCATTAAAATAAAAGGTATTTTGAGGTTAGATATTTACTTTGAAGTTATGACATTTATTGTAAGTAAAGCTTAAAGTTAGGGCGAGTAGTTGGGGAAGGGTTTAGGGTTAGGGTTCAAATAAAATACACCATTCAAGGGTTGTAAACTATGTCAAAAAGACATTGCTATTTAGTTTGCTGTTAGCAAGCAAGATAAAACATTTCTTATATGCTGTATGTGTGTGTGTATATATATATATGTATATGTATATGATCTCCATATACGTGTATGCAGAGTATTGTGAGGTTCTTGTCGTTCTATTGTTGCGGTCCAGTGGAACTGAGAATAGCAGACAGATGTAGAGCCCTGACCTTTGATGAAGGCTGTTCCTAATCTTCATAAACATGTGGTCTAACTCAGACTTTATTTTCTTCACCCTGACCGCCGAGTCTAAAGATGCTGAGATGGCCTTAAATTAAACATTTCATTATATTTCCCTTCTCACACGGCTGTAGGACTAACGTGTGTTACGTCTTCGATGTTCAATACAAACCCTATTTCCAAGGCAATTTATTTTCTGTTTGTGATGCTGTTAAATCTGTCTCCTTTGTTAGTCGGCCTGTTGTGTGGACTGTTGACATTTCTCTCACCGTGACTAAGTAAAGGAAACCAGCTGTTGTGGTTTCACAGCTCTCAGTTCAAATCGTTCTGTAAAGTCCGTCAGTTTACCATCCGCATTTATAACATCAGCATTAAGACCATGACTACATTAACCGTATCTTTTACAGTTAGCCCAGTTACTAGAAAGGAAATAGTGACAATGGAATTTTTGGGCGTTTTACACGTGAGACATCTGGTGTTAAGTAGGACATTCAAACAGGCAGGGCTGTGTTTATTTTAAGACTTCTGTGTCTCGCTGGACTTTAAATTCACCTGACACTTTGCATGCAGACTGTTTTTGTCAGAGTGAAAGGGTTCTATTTTGGGGGCGCTTTAAATAGAAAGTCTTTTCATGGAAACACTCAGATCACCTTCTGTGAGGTTTAACAAATCAAGAAATGAAAGCAGTCGTTAAAGAGCAGCTTGTACTTGGACAGAGTACCTTTCATTGCAGTAGTAGGTCCCTTACAAGTACTTTGTTAGATTCAGCACACAGTGGCTTCACCTGGAACAAAAACAACCAAAGCAAAATCTATTTTGCACACCAACCAGGGATGAGAATTCCACAACATTGTTATTATTAATATAATTATTGTAATAGTAATAATAATAATTGTTATTATTATTATTATGTCCTCTGTTTACTCAAATGGGTTATTCTCAAGGGGAAAACTGAATGCACTGAATGTGTGACAGGGCTGTTGCTATCATGAACAACTGACTAATCCTGTTGACAACTGAGATGATCCTTCACCCATATAAACAGATGGAAAGGCTCTGCAGTTCATTCAGGCTGAAAAAATGTTCTACGAGGTGGCACTGATCGAGCTGACGGCTCTGCAAGGGACCACAGGCAAGACATTTTAATATTTCCTTACTGTTGAAAAACAATGTTTATATCTGCTGTGTTGGCGTAGTTTAAATCCAACGTTATCCAAGAGTTGAAAGACAGATACTAATGTTAAGACAAAGTACGGTAGATACTTTATTATTTATATATGCTTTTTTAATAGCATTCTGGTTTTAATCCTAAGTTTCTGTGATAAAAAATGTCTTTGCTGCTGTTCTATCTGTCTTCTGTCTGTCTGTGCAGTGACTCCAACCTTTTTGGAGTGACTGCACATTATTTACATTAGAAAAAAATTCCCACAACATGCCACCAAACAAATATGTCATATAAAGGAATTTTCTTCAATTTGCTTACTCAGTATTAAACCTTGACCTGTTTAGTTGAACACAACACTGATATATTTGCAGGAATTGAAGAAACACACTTTTCCACCGCTCTTTCTCCCTCTCTCAGAGAAAGTTTCTTTAGCCATCTGCTGCCTCCCGGTGGAATTGTATTTCGATTGTCCTACCTGGCAATGTCGCATTGACGAGTGAAGACAAATTATTTGCAGTAAATAAATAATTGTTTTCAGACCAATTAAGTGTAATTGGATAATTTTCCATGGCACAGCAGATGATCCCTCAGGGCACACTGGTTGGGTATCACTGGTCTATCTATCCATTCATCCGTCCATTCATCAGTGTTTCTACTGAAACCTTTAACTAATTTGGTTTTCCTCGTTTAAAATAGAATGGTTGTTGCTATGCTTCAACCCAACTCGGGGCATAGTCTTATCTGGACCATTACTGTACTGTTGTCATAGATAATATTAGTGCAAAGTCCAGCACAAAAAAGTGACCTGATACCCAGGGTTGCTGAGAGTGATCCAGCCTTTGTTGGAGAATTCTTCTTTATACATTCTTAATAACCAAACTTTACAGTTTGTTAATGTAACTGTTACGTTGGTGGCTTTCCTTCAGTAAATTAGAAATATGCTGTCTGCTTTTTATGTTTTAGCAAGTGTATCCACTAAACTGGACTCTGTACGGTAGTGCTATTAAACTCATTTTCACCAGGGGGCCATATCAACAATACAGTTCCCCTTCAAGGGCCGGATATAAATGTAAGACTGTATAGAAGAAACTACTCTATAACCTATTAATAAATGTTTCTGCAATTGATTATTATTTATTCAAATTATAAATATGGTTCATTGCTGTTATTGTCAGTGAGTGTGTTTTTTAGGGCACTACTCTGATCTGTGTGTTACCCACAACAACAAACTAACCATAATCAATAGCTCCTTTTCCCTCAAATCCCTTCTTGTTTACTTATTTATCTGCTTCAAACTCCTCACTTTATCCCAGCTCCATTACTGTTTACCAGGAATCTGCCGGAGCTTTAAATCAGCATTCACAGCAGGGGGACTCATTCATCACCCACTGCTGCTGCTGCTCCAGACGTCTGCCTCTTCCTCTCTGTCTGTTGCTGAGGCAGCAATGCAGTGTAGCGTGAGCACAGTGGAGGTCGGGACAGGCGCAGTAGAAGACGAATGACCACACTTTGCTCTATGTCATTAGGAGCTGTGTGTTGCCCGTAGAATACTGAGGCCCCTGATTCAGCACTCACTCAGATTAAATGCTGGACTTCTCCAGCAGCACTGTTGCCCGGCGTCCTTTCTCTCCCCTCTGCATTTTAAATGCACCTTCTTGTCCACACCCCTGCTGACAGTGGACCTTCAGACAACAGTTGTCATTCCAAATAATTTCTAATGAAACCTGATGTGTATCACTTGTTTTTTTAAACTCACTTCCACCCCCATTACTCCTAACTGATGCGTAAACTCTGCCTGCTGTGTACAGTACAAGCTGTGTGTTTGGGGTTTGTCACCACAGCGTGCAAGCATGATCCAGTGGGCGGAGTCAGTGTCTTGTTTGACTTTCTTATCTGCTCCCTCCTGCTCTTATGTCAGCTCTCTTTCTCCTCCAGCCCTCAGTCAGCTGCTGCTCTGTATCCAGGTGAAAAGTCTGCAGTGGGGCAAGGACAGAGTTAGTTAGATAAAATTACTTTTTCAGCATTTTGAATTTTTTTTTTCAAACAGGAGTTAAAGTGGGAAAGTAGTCAGTAGGCCAGGACAGACAGTGGAGTGAGTTGAACTTTGTTAGTGACCTGAGCGTTGTTTCATGCCCTGTGTGTGTATCACAGGGCCTCAGGAAGAGGCTACGCTGGGCTCCGCAGGATGGACCACCTCCGAGGAGCTCCTGGAGCAGGCGTCTCAGGCTCAGCAGCTGGAACGTCTGGCTCAGCTGTGCATCATGAGCAAACAGTAGGTAAAACCGCGTCCTGCTGGATCTTCTGTTGTGCCGTAGTCAAAACAGAATTACCTCCTCTGTTGGCTCTTAACTTTTCCCTCCACTCTCCAAATTGTTAAAATGTTAAATGATTATATATAATCATATAATTGTTTTTTGTTACGTCATTTCCCAGAGTTAAGCCGGATGTTTTCAGGTGTAACAAAGTAAACAAACCGTTTGATGTCTCTTTTATTTTTGCCAGCAGCAGCAGCTTAGCATACAGCATTTGTTTTTGTTTTTTTTTAAAGGTAGAACTTTATTTTTGGCTTAAACAGTCAGTCATATTTTAAAGATAAAAATTCTCCCTGGTAAATATTGGATGTTGCTGTGTGGTGTATGTTTTGAGCACTTGAAGCTTCAAAGACATGTCTGTCATCACAAAAGTACATTTGAAGTACCAGAGAAGATCTAGAATGTAAACATATCTGCCTTCGGCTGCACATCTACATTTGTTCACTCTCCTGGAATGGAAAGTTTTCAAACTAGATAAAATCCAACTCCTTGTGTTTTTCGGGCAGAGTTGAATTTCTCTTTAGAAGTGGAAAAAGAAGACACCGCACTCCACGTGAGGAGGAGAACACTTTAACCAGATCTGCTGTCTCCTGTTGCAGGGGTACTTTGTTAGGCCACAGCATGAACCTTTTTTTTTTTTTTTACAAAGCCTCTGTTGAGATTGGCTCATTTAACCTAATTGCCTGAGAGGGTTGGAGAAGAGGAAGGTTCACTCCATGGAGAACTTCATTTATGAATGGAGCTGACTGCTGTAGCTGGCCGCAGAAGAAATTACTATTGATTGTAGTGTAAAATATGATTCTGTCCTGTACAGTATTTTAATGCATTTACAGAGAGAGGGCTGTAAAGGCTGTGGGGATCAGGGATCAGTGATCAGGAAAAGTCAATACCAACGTGATGGTTTTAACAAATAATAATAAAGAAGGAGAAGATTTTTTTCATTTTTACTATAATGCATCAAATGTGATACAAGGAAATTTAGGAAGAATTTCAGTGTCAAGTCTCAACTTATATATATATATATATATATATATATACATAAATGTTAACATTGTTACCTACTTAATAGTAATATTTTGTTTTTGATTATTAATGTTATTATTGTTATTAAGAAAAAATTATAAAATATTAAAATAACTAGTTTTATAATTTGTATGTACCAGCAAAAATAGTAAATAGTAAAAATTAAATAATTATTAATTATAAAAGCACATAATATAAAATGTTTTAAAATTTAACTGTGTTAAATATGAATTTAGTAAAAAACTTTTTGGGGGACTTTACTTGAGTAGAGTTTAACAAAAAAATATATATTTTGCATTAATCTTTACATTAAAAATTTGCTCTGAAAATACTTTTCCTCTGAAACATGATTGGTGAGCCCGTGTTGCAGACAGGAAGAGCTAACACTTCCTGAATCTTTCACCGATGCCGTAGGAAGTCCTTCGGGTCGGCAAAGGTCTTCTCGTGCTTGTGGATCAGATGTCCCCAGAGAAGGACCTTCCAACGCAGTGCAAACCGACACCTGGCCATTACTAATTGAAGGGAAGTGTGGGTTTGGAACATCAAAGCTGACATCTGTCACACTAAACAGAGCTTGCTCTACATCCGCAGGCACACGTGAGGGTGTGAAGGTGATGAATGTCCTTGGCTGGCCCTGCAGCCAGATATGCGCAGAACAGCTGGCAAACTCTCAGCGATCATGTTAACCTAGTTTAAGACTGGGGAGGAGGGGTTGTGGGGAGAAGGTCACTGGTCAGTAAACCAGCCCGTAGGCACCATGTACCCTGTAATTTACCCTGGACAGTAGCCTGGGAGTGCCCAGGTCGGCAGAAATAAAACACTTCTGCCTCCTCCACCTATTGTCCAATCAGAGCACAGACAGGTTAGGATTCATCGTGCTGCTTTGTTACCAATGTTAGATCAGATGCTGGGCCGCTACATCTGCTTGAGATCAATGTTGTTACTATCCTTGAAAAATTCTACTGTGTTTAAGTTGTCAGACGGAGCAGGAGACATGTGCAGATAAACTCTGTGTGATAATTCAAAGTCATCCATCTTGAAATGAATGCTTTTAATAGTTATGTGGGTTTTTTTATTGCAGCTCCACAAATAAAAGAAGTAGTAGAGCATTTGTTTAATGGAGACTTTTACCATTTGTTTTCTTCCAGGCCTCACCTTGCTCTGGAATACAGTGGTAAGGTATGTAAACATCATCGCTCTCTTCACATTTTTAAACAAATTACATGTTTCATGGCACTCCAGCTTGGCCTGGAAATTCACACGTCTCTGCATCTTTCAGGCCACGAAGATCCACCAGAGGGCTTTCGGTAATGACCACCCAATTACGTCCAGAAGCCTGGAGCTAATGGCCACGGTCTACGCTGAGATTGGCAAGACGGAGTATTCAGGTAAACACTGAGGGAGGCAACAAGAAACTGACAGAAGTTTTACAACAGGTTTGAAAATTACATACATGGAAAATTTGTAAATGATACTGCAGGACTGCTTTTCTCAACCAAAAGGTTAGGGCCCCACTTAAGGTCACAGTACAACACTCAGAGGGTCAGAAAACATTAACACAAAACACACTTCCAAAAATAGCTCAATATGAAGTCATAATATTTTAACATGTTTTTATTCTGGAAGGCTAGTGTGGGCATTAAAATGTGTACTCAGTCAGTGGTTAGGGCCCGAACTTATAAACAAAAACCCTGACCCTGCCGGCATCCCACCAATTACAATTTGGCCTCAGGACATAAAACATTTAAGAACCACAGTTGTAGGAAACCTGACTAAAAATGAACATGTTTACTTTAAGGAACTGGTACCGTGAACACTTAGTCTGACTGTGTGTAGTTTGTGTTACGGTGTATGTTTGTGTACAATTGGAAAACATTTAGTCATAATATTATAGTAATATTAGTCAGTCTCAGTTGACCAAAATACCTTGTGACCCAAATATGTGTCACAAGCCATGTGATTTTTTAATATAATAATTACAATTACATTAGTTTTGTCGTCCTGTGTCATCAGCCAGTATTTTAAACTCCTGTAGTCTGAGGAGTAAACAAGGAGAGAACTGTGGAGACTTCTCATATAAGGTTCCAAAACTGGGAGGATGGATTACACCAGGGCTGTGTATGAGTAACTGAAGGAGTGGACTGGTTAATAACTGGTTTCAGAAAAGACTGTGTGTGAAGACAACAACTGATCTAATTGTGTCAATCCCGAATTTTAAATCGGAGTTTAAAGAATGTGGTTTTGAATGTTGAGATTGAAAAATAGGTTAAAATAAAATGGAAGAGGTTTCAACCACACCTGCTGGTCAACATCTATAACATCACCAAACTTCCAGCATAAACATCATGTCCCATCATCTCTTAACAACTGTATTCCTCTAAATAGGATTTGTAATCTATAAAGTTAACATCATAACATGATGAGGAATTATGTGAAAACATTTCAGGAAACTATGAAGTGTTTGAATGTGAAGTAGTCGTTGGTTTACTTTTAAAAGCAGCAGAATATTTACTTTTTAAGTTTCCTTAATACTGTCTGTGACTAATTATGAAAAAATGAATATGAATGATTTAAACAAATGGATGATGAATTGATGGAGAATGTTCCAGAATGACTGCTTTACAGAGTGAATGTAGGTCAGTATTTTAGTCTCATCGTTAAAACAGTGTCAAGTCGTTAAAATCGTTCTAATTAATAAAGTGAAGGGTTTTTAGGCCAAACCTCAGTTAATGCAGGAATTAGACCTAGACTTGGCTTGCGTTAGTGATAGGAGTATCGATTCTGTGGTATCAATATATTGATACTCAAACACGCATTGATAAAGTATTGATTACTCTAGTGAAGTATCAGTACTAATTACATTTTTATAAAAGCGCATGTGTCACTTCCACATCTTTTACAGTAACTTACTTTATACAGGCTCAAAAGAATTTAAACTATATTGATCCCATATTTGGGAAATTCTTGAACAAACACTTTGTTCCCTATTGGTTGCTTTTAAACTGTTTAATAGTATGAAAAAAATACGTATTAAAGTTAAATGGCCAGTACTTGTCCTGTGTTTATGGGGTTAAAAAATCACCAACTTGATTTAGACATGTGGTTCTCAAACTTTTTTGGTCATTCCCCACTAGTTCACAGTGTATTATAATTAATCAGAAATTAATAACATTAAATAACACACAGTTCAAGTTATCATGTCTTCGTTTCCCACCTGTGGGGCCCGCCCCATACTTTGAGAAGCACTGCAGTAGACAGAACAAGGAGAGAGAGAGATTGATTCACCTCTGTGTCTGCTGCTGCTTTGAAAGCAACAGTTCTTTGTTGTTGAATCAACCTGAGATCAGAACAGATCAGAGAGACTGGACAGTACACTGGTCTTTGTACTTGTTGTACTGCAGTTCGCTGCACCGGTGACTCCGACCTTTGAGTTTGTACTGTACACAGAGGGTTCCTGTTTGACTGCAGAATGATATGTTTTTCACCCATCAACAGTACAGTAGAGTACACACCAGTGTCATCACTGTCTTTAATGTAACATTTCATTTCACGTTCTGGTTGATGGATGAAGAAAGTAATATGTTTCCACATTAAATTAATGACATCTGAAAATTAAAATAAAGATTCAGTATACTGCGCTGTAGCAGCATCGCACCTGAGGGAAGAAAGTCTTTATCACTGAGAATGGGCAAAAGACAGATTTTGTCAAGTTATTATCTTGTTTATCTGATTATCGTAACTTTGAAAAGTTTTTCCACCTTGTACATTTAAGACTTACTGTAGGAACAGCCTTGGGTCTATTTATGTTAATAAAGTTATTTTTCTTTATACACAAATTTCTGGGCTAAACATTACAATATCATCTAAAACAAATTCCCCGACAGAGCTTATTGTCCTGTAGTTTTCGTTTCATGAGCTGTAGCTTCATGCAAGGGAAGTAAAAAATTTAAAAAAAAAGGGGAAAACAACATTTTTTTTATTTCTTTCTGCTACAAATATGTGTTTGTGAAATCGGAGCTGAATGTACGCACTTTCTTTACAACACACCAGATGGTGAAACCAGTCAGCTGTGATAATGGAGTAAATGCCTTGAATCTAGAACGTATTGTAAGAATTCACTTTTTTGTATTTTATTTGTAGTTTTTTTCTAAATAGAATTTGAAAAACAAATGTTTGAAAATGAACTTTCCAAACTGTAATTCTCAATAATACTCACTCACAGTTGATTAAATCAGGGATTATTCAAAATCTTTTTTTTTTTAAATACAAGGGTGTGGTGCATTTACTGTCTTCAGGAGAAGTGATTAGATCGTTTTAATATGACCATTAGGTGACGTTGATGCTCTTTAGAGGGTGACAATGAGTCTGAGTCTGGCCTCAGTCAACACTGGTGTCTTCTCTGTGACATTTGCATATTCTACTTTGAATATTTACCTCGACCTTGTTTGTCTGCTTTGGGAAACGCAGACTCCAGTGTGAACCAGCGCTTGATCTTCTCTCATACTCTGCATGTTTGGTCATGGTTTTTCTTCTAGACTCCCTGGGTCAGTGTGTGTCGGCGCTGTCCAAACGCTTTGCTGCGGCAGAGTCCATCAGAGACACGGTCAACTGTCTTCCTCACTCGCACAGGGAGAAACACTCGGAGGTCCGTCACAGGAAGGACTCCCACCACCAACAGGAGGACACAGTGAAACTGAAGGTGACCGTTGGTTCATGTCAGCATGAGTTCTTATGGAGTACATAAAAAGTTCTGCTCCCACGTTGTTTGTTGGTTCCTCATGAGATTTCCGTATAAATCTGCTGTAGGTCAACAATGGAAAAGTCCCCACCTCCATTCTGAAGAGGCCGAGTCCTGACTACGGGACAGACATGGAGCTGAACCACAGACGGAAAGGTGAACGGAGGGTTCGATTCCGAGAGCCAGAGACCACAGTACATGGTGAGAAACGGTCTAAGTCCCTTTTAGCACAAACACGCGCGGCTCCTCCTCAGAGGTTTAGGAAACTCACCCAGACTAGTCCAGTGAGTGACTCTGAAACAAACCTGCAGCTCGTCTGACGTGTACACAGATATTTCTTTAGCAAATGTGGGAAAACTAGATTCTGTCCTGCATGTCTTAAATATTGCAAACTGTCCAGCTTGGCTAATGTGGCAACAATTTTGATGTCTTTTGTTTTGTACTGTGGGGGTAAAAACAGTTTTTATCTTTGTTTGCTTTATATTTCTACCAGATTAGACATGTGTGGATAACTTAAGTGTTAGCTAGAAGGCAGACACAAATAGCCTAATTAGTGCTAAAGTTAAACATTTAGGAGCTTCAGTCAATGCTAAAAAACTAAAACCGTGTTGAGACTAAATCTGCAGGTTAGCCAGATGAAACTAAAACTGAACCAAAACCAAAGCTGTAAAACAAAAAAAAAGTCAAAAATAAAGCGAGACAACAAGAACAAAGAAATGGAAGCAAATGAGAAACTAGATCAAAAAGTAGTCCTTGGTTGAACAAAAATATCTAGACATAATCTAATCAGGAAATTCAGTGTTTTTTTTAACTCTTTGCTAAAGAAGTCCTGAACTATTTCATTCCGAACTCATTGTTAGTTCAGATGTAACCGTTTCCACTGAGGTCACCTTTTGTAAAGTTTTTATTCCAAAGTGGTTTTACAAAGATTCTCATTATCTGTTATTTGATTTTAGAAAATACTGTACTTACAAACCTCTTCACTAAATTACCCATGAAAATTAAACGAAATGCCCCGAAAACCCATTTTTATAAGGTCAAAAAACCATTTTCCTCCCATGATGCCATCTGATGTTGGAGCCATAACCAACATAAATCTACACAACAGTGACAGGAGAGGACAAAATGCATCAACACCTCAACACTGCACCGTAAACCCTTTCCCTTGGGGGGATTCTTTTCTACTTAAGTATAATGTAAAGCGGGTTGAGCAAGTGATTTACTCTTTGAAATTAATTATGCATGCAAATGAGGCGGCAGGAAGTCTGTTCCAGAGAGATAGTGGAGTGAGTTAGGGGCCGCAGCTGTAGTTCAACTCTGGTTGACTGACTGACTGACTGACTTCTCTGTCGGCTTCACAGAAATCCCACCCTGTGCCTGTTTAGGTGGTGAGTCAGACAAAGAGTTCCAGAGTCACTCCTTTGATTTGCATGAGGAAATGACCACAGCACTGCACTTGTATCACTGTAACGTAATCCAGCGGTCCCTAACCTCCCATGTACTAAGGTCAACTGGTATCAACCGTTACTGTGGACCAGTTATACCACACCATCGTTGAAGTATCATTGAATTTTCAGTAGAGACTGAATGACCTGTTGTGTTGGAACATTGACAGATTATCTTTGAATGAACAGAGTAAAGGGACATGACTAGATTATTTTGGAATGAAGTGAATTAGTAAAACTGAAGTACATTTTTTCACTGTCCCACTGCGGCCTGGTACCAAATGACCTACGGACCGACACCAGTCCATGGACCGGGGGTTGGGGACCGCTGACATAATCGATTGTGGAAACAGTAAAAAAAAGTAGTTTTTAGGTTCATAGTTGTGTAGAAACAAATTGAGGAAAGTTTCACTTTTGGTTAACTTTTGTCAACAGCCATTTAAACTGGGCTTTATTATATATGTATCATAAAGTCTGGGACACCAGCAGCACAGTGTGTGTGTGACTCACTATAGGGGATGTCCGATAATATCATCTGAAATTACGGCCTGATATCAGCAAATGATGTAATACCTGTAAGAATCATTTTCGTTTTACGTAATGCCTGGGTTTTGCCAAAGCTCCCCGGGCACTTAAAAAGCTTCCCACTGCTCACCTTGCTGTTGGGTTAAAAGCTGAGGCTCAGTTTCATTGTATCCCTGTGTTACAATGACAATAAAGACCATAGAATTTTTTTTTAAAAAATGCTGGAATCGCTTCTGGGTTCCTGAGACGTTTACTGCAGTTTTTGGGGGAAAACGGCTGCATATATCGATATCAGAAATTAAGTGTTAAGTGTTATTAGGACGATATCGGCATATCAGAAATCAGACATCCCTACTCACTACACTGTGAACGTGTCATCAAAGTGAATGACGTCACCACCAGCCTTTTCCCAGATCCCTGCATGTCACACTCCAGGTTTAACCTCACTCACAAGTTAAACCTGTAAATATTACTATGTCGTTTTTTTTTTTCTTTCTTTCTCTGTTTCCAGCCTATGAGACCACACCGTCCCGCCCCCACCTCGCCCTCCTCACTTGCTTCTTCCTTCTTATGTCATTCCTGGGTGTGGCCATGTACTGCACCGACCGGCGACGCCCACAGAGAGTGTGTGAAGAGCTGGAGGCTGCACTGGCAGTTTACCTGCTGCATATGAAACAGCTGCTGTGGGGCTGCTGGATATGGCTGACCATGCAATGACTGTGACTGACCACAGATGGCGACATTTTTTTTGTTTCCTATCCATGAAGGCGTCCGGACCTTCAGACACCTCAGCCATTGGTTTGACAGGGCTTTATAAACTGTAAAGGGAAACTGTATAACCCCAGGAATATGTAGCTTTCATGTCTTCATGTAGAAACATGTAAATGTGCTGAGGCTGGAACATCAGCTGGGACATTTTTGCACATTTACAATGTCGTTGCTCACAAATTCCACTAAACTAATAACCGGAAATGTGATTTTTTTTTTTTTTTTTTTTTGATTTTTTGATTTCTTGTCACAGTCAGTGAAGCTGAATTGACTTTTTTTCCACAGGTAAAACATCTACAAACCTCACTTCCTGAGTCGTTGGTGCACTTTCATAAAGCTGTTATTATGGTATTGACCAGAACAATGACGAAAGTCACGTTGCTATTTAAATCTATTTGTTTTTAACAAACACAATTTTCCCTTAAATGTTAGAGGAACGCAGCAGGTTTACTACTGAATCTTATTTTATCTAAGATTTCTAATCTTTCTGGATTTGACAGACAGATATGGACCACAGCAGAAGTAGAGGTACACTCTTTAGTCCTCACACCACGCTTTTGTAACATGTTAACACAATTTCTCTAAAATCTCAACACAAGATTTTTAGTTGATCCACAGTGTGTGTGACCATGTGTTCTCTAATGTCAAGAGCCTTAGGTTGATGCTCAGAAGGTCATTTAAATGACCTCGCCCCGCATATTTTGCCAATGTTCCAATTTTTTCGCTGAGGCTACAGGCGTTAACTCTTAAACAGAACTCCAAAAATGTTTTTAAAGTTTTTTTTTTTATTTTAAAGTTTCATTAAGCTCATTGTTCTTTCTACTTTTTTTCTAAGTTTCTGAAAGTCATTTTTTTGTTTTGTTTTATGGAAACATCAACGCATGTGGAAATGGAGTTTGTATGTTGTCCTGTCATGACACAAACTGAATGTGTATATATGGACTAACAAACTAAGGACTGTTAGTTTCACATGTCTGAGACCAGAGAGTTCTGTTGTCGTTACTGAGGATGTATCATGATGGCCTGCGGTTGGTATGCAAGAAAACACAGGGCTGCATCACCTCACAGCTTCAACGACTTTATACTGTCTTTCTGTGCGTGTTGGGGGGGGGTTACTGGGGAGGGTCACAGCTACGTCTATATCAAATATATACTCAAACAGAAGGACTGCTAATACTTTTGACCAGTCTTTTTTTTTGTGACTGCTTGGTTCGGAACTTTTTAAATTTTTGTTACCCGTTTACTTTTCTATTTAAGACCAAGAATATTCAGGTTCTGATCATGATGTCAGCTGCTGTTTGAGCATCAGCTGGTCAGGTCTGATGTGCGGATGTGAGCGTTTGCAAAAAAAAAAAAAAGAAGAAGCAGTTCTTACATCAAGCTCACAAATATTGTAAGGCCGAGCAGAAACATGAAAGAGACTGACTGATACTAGTTTGAAACCCTTTAGGCTTTGAAGCCATGATCATTCAAAAACGGTGGCACAGATGCATTGTGGGAGATCAAAGGGCACAGTGTAGCTCCTTCCACTGGCCTCACATGTAAAGCAATAACACACATCACATACTGTAGCTTCTAAGAACCTCAAAAGAAAGTGTTGGAGTTCAGAGGTCACGTATTTAAATGTAACACGAGTCACTGTCACATTGAGACTTCAGTCCACACATTTTATGGTCACTTTGAAAGAAGTGCCTTTTATGGGAGGTTTTTTTTTCTTAGTTGCTGCTGTTTTATGATTTCAATTGTTTTCAATAAAACTGTCATTGCCTATCAAAGTCCAGCAGGTGGCCTGCTATTTTCCAGGAACCTCTGACTATAAAAACAAATAATGCTTTCACACACACTGTGAACCTCAGACATGGCGGTGAGTGAGAGAGTGTGCGATGTGAGTGACAGAACTGGACACAGTAATTGGTTTGTAGCCTATGGAGTAGAAGCTGGAGGTACAACGGATCACAGAATTAGATCAACTTTTTTCTTTTTAATCTCACATTTAAAGCATTTTTGGAGCAGCTGTTGGATACATGATGTCCCAGAATACAATTTGTCACCGTCATAAGACACATCGTGTCGTGTGGCCGTTGATGAAAGTCTCTGAATTACACTGCAGAGGCGCACAACTCCTTATTTGCTGCAGCATGCAAAGAGTTGTCATTTCACTGAGACACAGTGTGCATCCCAACAGAACAAAGAGACAGGTGGAAAATAAATAATGTTCAAAGTGACTAGAAACCAACCTAATACACAGTCATGCTTTACATCCATGCAGGAGATTCACACCGTGACCGTCAGCTGTTCTGTCCAAGCCGTAAACATTATGCTGTTTGTCAAGAAAAAAGAAAAAAAAACAGGTTCATAATACTGTTGTAAATGAGTATAATAATACTGTCGGGAGATTAAATACAATAAATAAACTTCAGGATTGGCAATCCTTGGCACAGTTTAGGCAAAGCTTTTCTTAAACCCATATTCACTGAGAGCTGAAGCCAATTAACACTGATTGTCTGCGAAAGTAACGTGAGTGTGAGTATGGAAGCAGGAGGGACTGAACCTCTGGCTTTGATGACCGTGTGTGTGTTTGTGTGTGTGTGTGTTTCCTCTGAGGTTTTCTAGATGAGGCCGGTCTTGAGGTCGGAGCTGTGGCGTGAGGAGCGACTGAGCAGCAGGTCCTTCTCGTGGATCAGGCTGTCCAGCAGGTCTTCTTGTCTGTAGTTGTGATAGACCTTCAGGAAGGCCAGCACCGTGATGCCCAGCCAGGTGAGCCAGGCCGCCCACAGGCCGAACTGTGGAACCGCAACAAGAGCAGAGAACGTCATTCGGTCATCGTGTGAATGAGGCGGACCACCAATCCTGTCGTGAACCCTGTCCCTCTGCTGATCTGTGTCTTTAACATAACACCTTTACAGTAATACTATACTGTAGTACTATAAACCAGTCACATGGTTTGTTTACATCTTGCAGCTAAAACAGTCCTAGACTGAGCTGGCCGTGGAACTGAAGTTACTTCACATTACTGTTGTCAAAAGGTAAATATTTCATCGACCACAATTAATGACGATTAATCAGGGTTAATTAACATCCCTAAATAAGACCAAAAATGTGTACATTGCTGGAACAGAAAGACAAACAAACAAGTTTGACAATGGTTTTCAATTTGTGACTAATTCGAATCATGCCGTTATTATCATGGGAAAAAAGAAATAAGTTATTATAAAAAAAACTGTCATTTTGTGACGCTGCCTGTAACGAAGGCTCCTTTTGGATAATTATTTCCTTCTTTATGACGTACTTTTTACTCTAAATTAGATAATACATTTAAAAATTGTATTTTTTTTATTAAGAAGAAGTAAACCAAATAAAGAAGCAAAAAGACTGATGGAAAACCAACCTGAGCCACAGCAAACTGGTCATAAAAAGCAGAGTTGTTTAAACCCAGTTCCAGATCTGTGTCCTGTAGATCCTCACAGCTGGAATTAAAAAAAACCACATGAAAATCACAACAATATCTGTTATATTTTTGTTCTGTTATATGTGCAGGTGATGTATAGCCCTCCTACCTGCTGGGCATGGTGCCGCCCTCGGTGATGGCATCGCACCACAGATTGAAACCCACGCTGATGATGGTGCTGGACAGGAAGACGGTGAAGACCACCAGGGAACTGATCAGCAGGTTGAGGAAGGCGTTGAAGATGGAGCTGCATGGAAAGAGAAGATCTTTACCCTCAGCACCTGTACTGCAGCAGCACATACAGTAGAGTACAGATATGGCGCAGAGCATCACGGTACATGGACATATTTGAACACATTAACAATGAGCTGTCATGGCCTGTGCTATCCTGTCTCCAACTGTGGATCCGCTGACTTCCTGTCACTCACTCGTCGTGTCCTTTACACAGCAGGAACAGCAGCCTCCACGCCTGCACTGCGGACAGGATGAGGGAGGCTATCCCGACGAAAGTGATGAAGCTGCAGGAAGACTCCGGTCCCCACTCGTCCACGATGAAGCGCTGCTTCGACACGGTAATGTTCTCATTCTGCCACATGCCCCGCGTAAAAAGCAGACATTTCCCGCCGAAATCCTCCGTGTTCTCCGACAGAGGCACCACGGCGACGAAACCGAACACGAAGGCTAAGAAATAGAGGACGCACTGGGCGAAAATCAAATTGTCGAGGGCCATTTTTCCCCCTGCCTTTCTGCCTCCACAACTCCGTGCGTTCTGGAGAATGTGCGCATGCGCAGACGTGAGCAAAGGAGCAGCAGCATCATCTCTGCTCTGCTGAAAACTAATGAGCAGCCCGAGGCCTGCAGGGTTCTCCACCCTCACATCCAACCTGGGCACAGAGCCCTCCTCAGTCATGTGCTAATTCACAGCAGCTGAAGTGTGCCAACAGCTGATCCACTTACCTCACTTTAACCCACCTGTACAACCCCGTGTAGGATGCAATAAGACATCAATGAATTAAAAATGTACACAGTTCCTGACAATTGTAGTTTTTATATTTGAATCAAAATTATTTCACAAAAACTACAAAAGTCACATCTTGACTCCAATGTAAAGAAATAAAAACTGCTAATGTTTAATCTAATACCATAAAGATTCTCCTGAAGAGGAGAAAGAAACACATCAGACACTGATGTATCTGTCTAAATCAGTGGCTTTCAAACTGTAGAGCGTGTTTTAAAAAAACTGTCAAAAAATGTTGGTTAAAAAATGTAAAATATCAAAATATTACAACTACATCCTACTGTAGACCCCAATCAGGGGCAGGAATATTTGGCCTTTTCCTGGGCAGAAATCCCTGCGTGTTTAGTTTAGTAGTAAGTAAATAAACACATCTGTGTTCAAAGTTTAAACACAGATTCCAGATCAATTGGAAAACTGAATATTTGACCTAATTTTATCTTGTTTTCAGTGGACGACCAATCAGAAGATGGAGGTTTGAGTTCAGCTTGTTGCAGCTCCACGACAAGACCCTCTCTACCAATGAGTGCATCACTTCCTGTAAGTGACCTTCAAGTCGACATTAGTCCTGTAACCTTTACATTCAGTTCTAGGGTTCTGCCTCATTTGGACAAAGGTTCTGTCTGAGTTAGTTCTGTGTTTCTAGTCCTGACATGGTCAGTTATCGCAGCAGTAACACGTGTACCCTGAAGGCAGCACGGCCACAGCTGACGCTGGTGGTTTACGTATAGATGGTGACAGACCTTGAACAGTACCAGTACCTGTCTCAGCCGTTTGACGCGCTTCACTGAGTCCATCTGGTGAACTGGGAAAGGTGTGTGATCACTCTGTCTCTGTGCTGCCCACAGTGCCCTCCAGTGGGCGAGACACCTGCTCACTGACTTCATCAGATTATTGCTATAGGTTCCATCATGTTTCTGATTTACAGTATTTTTTTTTATTTTATCTGCAGATTCAGGCAGAAAATAATTAAGTCACAAAAAATAATTTAAATTTAAAATCCTATTTTTTTTTTCCACTGACTGAACACAAGGGGGCAGTTGAAGCACTTGAGTATTAATGTTCCAGCCCAAGGTTAACCACCCTGGGCTGGAACATTAATAATCCTGTTGTATCCTGGAATATTTTGTTGCAAGATACTGACAAGTATTTATACGGATACTTTCCAGACATTACTCTGTTATTTGTATCCATCATGTGAGCTGCAGTATTTTGCATGCTCTCCCTGGCACATGATTTATGTGTCATTTTGCTACAGCACAGCACTTTGTGGTTCCCATGATGTTATCAGCTCTCAGATTAGCCTGAGTTATTGTGTTCTCTGTGTGGGTGTGTGTACATGTGCGTGTGTGTACATGTGTGTGGTCTGATTTTATTCCAGCGCTCAGCTCTGTTGTTTTTAACACTATGAGCTAATGTTGCCTTTCTTTTTTTTCTGTGTCGTTCCGTATCTTTGCACTTGGTCAATGATAGATTACAGAGATTATTATTTCCTGTCATAAATCACTCCGCTGTTTCTGTTATGATTCCATATTTGTGGAGAATTCTAACTCCAGTGCAGCAGCATTTTCTTCTCCTCCTAAACAGTAAAATCAGCCGTCCAGAAAAAAAAAAGCCCGGGTGTGAAACATCGTCTCATATCAAAGGTGCTGCTCCACCTGCGAGGTCACGGTGACAGGCCATAACAGCTCCATAAGGCGTTTTACACAGACAGCAGATTACATGCACGTCCACACACAGTCAGGAACAGCCAGCCCACTTTTAAATAATACAGCATGTGTGGGCTCGTGAACCGGCCACCCAGGGGAGACCCTGAGCACAAGTGTGTCAAGCTGAAATATGTGTTGAGTTATTCAACCCTAGAATAAGGCACGGAGGGAGGGATGAGGGGAGGAGGGAGGAGGATGCTAACCCAAACGCAGGGCCTAAGCTCTGAGCAAATAACGGGGAGCGATGGACGGCAGAAAGCGCTGGGAGGTCATCCAATTTTCATGAGATGCAGTGGCAGCAAAGCAAACATCCCTTTTCAAGAGCAGGCAACCGGTGAGGAATTTAAAGTGCGGAATAATTTTCAAGGACACACGCGGTGCATTTAAACGCTGAACATTCATGCTCCAAATAATCCAACATCCTGTTGAACACCTCGCTGTAGCACAGACTGATCCAACTGGCCTTTTTCGTCCTTTTTTTGACAAAACAATTGCAAGATTTTGGTGTCATTTCAAATGCTCCACTCAGGTTTGTGAATGTTTGTTTTGGATAGATATTATTGACAAGACAAATTGATCTTGGAATAAATATAACCACCTGCCTCCGTCTAACAGCAGAGCTAAGTGTTGAGGTCCAGCACAGAGCTGTGATTCTAAAATAGACAGTAACAGAAAATCATAATAATTTGTTTCAATTTACTAACAACTGACTGTCAGTGTGAAACACAATCCTGTTTAGTTGAACACAACGCTGATATACCGGTAGGAAGGGAAGAAAGATACACACAAAATCTTCTTTAACAGCAGTCTCTGTGTCATTTCAGTTTTTATAACCCTCTGCTTCTAGTGGAAAATAATTGAATTATTTTGCCTCTCACTGTCACGTAGCTGAACAAAGACAAATTATTTGCACTAAATAAACAACAGTTTTCAGACCAATCAAGTGGCATTAGATCATTTTCCACGGCACACTGTTGTGCTGTGATGCAGAGGTTGGGCATCGCTGCTCTTATCTCTCCTACCTCGTTCTTCTTGTTTGACTTTTTGACTCTTTGACTTTTTTGGCACCTTTTAAAAAAACATCGTTGCCACATTCCAACCTGCAGGCTGTTCTTCGTCCGCCTGTGACACAAAACAACAGCAAAACAGACACAATTACAGCCGTATTATGGGCAGTGATGTGGAAGACCTGATGAAATATCCTGTAGCCATTAATCTTTCCCCAGGGGGCGCAGGAGACTGGGAGCACTGGGCCAGCCACTGATTAAATGCCCCTAATAGCGGCCATTCATCTCCCAGAGAATTGTGAAAGTCTCAACATGCAACATCACTCAACCAACAGATACACTTGCTCCCTCTCTCTTCTAATATTGGTATTTTCATAAAGACACCAATGTCTGCCATATTTCATTTTCTGATATCAGTGTAAGTGGCCTTGATCTGTGTGTGTGAGCGATGACTTATTTTCACCACAGTGTTTCTTTTTATAACCGTGCCACAATAATCATCGTAAACCACCGCACGCGGGGTCGTTTGGGACCAGATCAAAATTCATAGTTTGCTTTAATAACTAGATTTAATATCCTGATTTTATTGCCATCCTGGAACTGAATGGGTGATGGCTTTATCAGCCATTAAGATTTTTTTCCCCCTAAAACTCATTTGCACACACCACTTCTTAATATCTCTCTATCTGCCAATTAAGCGAATCCTGCGCCGCGTCATTTCTTGCCCGAATAAACAATTAGACGACACTAACAGCCGTCTTAGAAGCAACAATAGACACTCGCTCAGCCACTTACACCTCGTCTGCCTGATAATGGATCTGTCACTGTACAGCTGAACTGAACACACAGGTCGGTGCAGGAAACTCAGGGCCGCGCTATTATCGTCATAAATTAACATTGGTTTAATTGTGTTTCACCTGCCAAGATCCATATGGTTCCCAATTGTGAACAAAATAATTAGGTGTCTGCTTCCCAATTAAGAAAATTATCCAGTGAAACCTCAGTAAAACAATTTCCTGCTCATATCCTGGCTACGACGCTCGGCAGAGCAGAGTCCAGGTCAGGGAGCATGAGAGGATTCGATTTTCTGACAAATAATTTATAGTTTGGTTTGTTTATTTTATGTTGCGGACACATGTGACTCCACTGTTAAGGACAGAGCTGATTCACCAGCCCTGGAAATCTGTTTTCATGCTTGGAGAATGACATCATTGTAGGTGGAAGGGTGGGGGTGAGGGTGAGGGGGGGGGGCGTCTTAAAAGCACGGATGATTATAGTGGAGGACAAGGAAACAGGGGATGAAGGGGAGTAAAGAGGACACCTGCTGGGCTGTGATGGAGCCCACTCCTCAGGGACCGGGAATGAGATCATTCAAACCAAGAGACGCTGTCAGGCTTCTCCACTAGATCAATAGTGACCCCTGGTGGCCAATATAGGTTTTTGTATTTCTTGGATTAATCAGCCCCGGTCTCCGTGTGCATGGGAGGAGAGAGGTGGGTTGGGGGCTGAGGGGCGGGGTTAGGTACCTGTTTGTCGTTTCCTTTGTCTTTCCTTTTGTCTCTCTGTGATTTTTACAAGCTTGGGAAGATTTTATTTATTTATTTATTTATTTTTGGGAGGAGGGGGTATTTAAAACAGAAAACGCCTGGATTTGACGTGATTATCCTAATGTAATGCCACATTGACCCACTATAATGCATATTTAACCCCTGTCCCAGTGACAAGGTTGGGGCATCAGTATGGGGCAATAGGCCTGAGCTCCCAAAGGCCCAGTGGTGATCAGCACAACGTGGCAGATGGAGGCAGGTCTGCTGTGAAGTGGCAGACACTAGAAATGTGGTAGAGGGAGGGAGAGAAAGGGGGGAGGTGGGGA